ATTCTCTTTAATACAGAAGAGGGTGTAAACACATGTGTTTAACCCCAGCACTCAGGGGTAGGGAACTGGGGGTGAATCTCTCTGAGATGGAGGCCAACCTGATCTACACAGAGTTCCTGGTCGGCTGGGGCTACAGGGAAACCCTGTCTATAAACAAATAGCAAAACAAAAATAATTACATTGAATTAAATTAGACAGAATAAACTTTTTAAATGACACACATAAAACTACTAATCACAATGGAATCATCAATGGTATCATGGACACCCTCTTCTGACCTCTGTGGCATTGCACAACACGGTGCACTCATATACTTGCAGGCAATACACTCATACACATAAAATAAAAATAATAAATGAAAAATTAAAAAATATTCCAAGTGTTACATTGAATTAGACAGAATAGACTTTTTAAATGACACACATAAAACTACTAATCACAATGGAATCATCAATGGTATCATTTAATGACAAAGTAAACAAAATAAAGATAAAAGCAGCATTAGGACAACATGAAAATGATATTTTGTAAAGATGCAGGGAAACTCCAAAAGAAATGCTTCCATCTCCTAGCTGGGCAGGTAGCATAACGCACTCACCACAGGTGGCCAGTCCTATCACCGTGGCCGCCCGTAAAACCAGGGCAACACTGGTCTGTCTCAGTGCAGTCCGATGCCACTCTGGACTCTCAGGGTAATCTGTAATGATTAGATTTTCTTCTGAAACACTTAAACATTTTAAATGAACTTATAAATGTATCATAAAATGGGAAATTCTGAGGGTACACTGTATCTTAAGATGGGAAAAGGAGCTTATAGTTTGTTAAGAAATGAAGTGCACTGGACAGGGTGGCTCATTTCTGAAATCTCAGCACTCAGGCGTCTAAGGCAGGAGGACCTGCTATGTGTTCCTGGCCGTTCGGGGTTACAGAGTGAGACCCTGTTTCCAAACAACAACCAAAAAGTCCCCAACCAAAATTACCCAAGATAAACTTATCTTGGAAAAATGGAATTGTTGATTCTGAGGTCAATATGTTTTATTTACTAATTTTAAATATTCTTATGTTTACAATTTTGCTTCCAAACCATAATTCACAGAATAAAAAGGACTGTTTAGTTAATCAAACACAACTTCCCATAAAAATTGTCATTTACCTTCCATTTCGACTGCCTTACTCAGACATTACCCCATAGGATTGAGTCCCAGAAAGAAAACATGTCAATAATGTCAAAAGAATTTATTGAAGGTAAGAACCATTGTCTGAGGCACTACATGAGCAAAACTAATTTTAGTCATTCTCAAATATTTAAGATCAAACACATTTATACTGATTCATGAAACAAAACTCAGTTGTTAACCTATATAATTACATATTTTACTTTAATAAACATTATAACATCCTCATAATCTTCAACTCATGAAAAATCTGACTCATTACATTCAATTTAACCTTCTGTATAAATATATTTGCTTATGCCAAAAACTAGGCTGAGTGTGAGGGTTGCAGATATAATTATACAGTCTAGTGTGTAGATCAATGTAAATAGATCATTCAAACACAAAGTAACATTGTTCTTAATACTAGGCTCTAGTTAACTTGTTAAATATTAACATTAAAGACAATTAAAATTCCCCCCCCAAAATTCTAGGAATAAAGTGTGCAATCTATGGGGATGGTCACTTCCTACAGTTGTATATCCACTTGTTCTGGAAGTGGTTGCAGTGTTTCCTGGGCTTCTGCATGGTTGATCTTTCTGCGTGTTGCACCTGTCCAACCAACCCATAAACAGAAAAATCCATTTTTTAATGAGAAGGAAATAGAGACATCATTTTAAAAAAATCAAAAAAACAAAACAGTACATATTAAAACGGTGGGACTGAGAGAGATAAAGCAACCACAAAGGATATGGGGGGGAGGAGAGGGGGTTTTGAGTTTTAAATACAAATCTTCTATTAGCACAGCTTTAGATGTGCAGAAAAGTTGCTGAATGCTCTCAGGTACGCAACACTCAGTTTTTCCAATGATCATCTTTTTTTTTTTTTTTTTTTTTTTTTCTTTCTTTCCTTATGGAGAGATAGACAAACACGGAGAGAAAGAAAAGAAAAAAGAAATAAAAGGAAGGAAAAGAACCCATTATTACCACCTTATGACACATTTTCCAAAGCTCACGAGTCAATATTGATACGTTTCTCTTGATTTAACTCTACACTGTATTCGGATTTCACGTCTTTCCTGTATCTGAGGATCCCACTCCCTATAACACGATGCTAAATTCCTCACCTTTCTTTAGCACATTCTTGGCTATGACAGTTTCATAGACCGTCCTCGTTTTTGATGATTTTTAAAGTTTTGAAATACGTCGATAAGATTTAATAAAATGCTCCCAATTTGGGGTAGTCACGTATTTTTTCTCTCGGTTATTCTTGGGTTACAGAATTTTGGAGGACAGCAAAAGTGAAATGCCATTCTCATTACATCCTCTAGAGGGCGCACATCACCCGAACACGTTATCGTCCTTAACTAGGTGACTTTGCCAAGATAGTGTCTGTCAGGTTTATTTACCAAGTAGTTCCTCTTTAGCCCGTTTCCTTACTGTCCTCCCTGGAAGGAAGCAAGTGTGTGCAGTCCACATGAGTTGAGGAGTTGACCAGTTCTTTGGGGATTATCTGCACACATGATTTAAAATTCTCCTGTAGGGAATGTTTATCAATTTCCCATGGACTAAACACTCATTTATTCAGCACAGATTCATATATCTGATATTTTGTTCTAGCTCTGGTCATGGGGAATTGTTTCCCTTAGCTCCATGAATTTTTACTGATATCTCTAATTCTAAAGTATGTCATTCTGGCTGCCTCTCTGCCACCCTCCTCTAGAAAAGTAAGAGACAGTCAAGGCTATTACCATCCTCATGCCAGTACTCAGCTGTTCCATCCTAACATCCTTATTTCATGGTTTCAGAATTGCTTCCCTGTATCTCTCCATGAGTTATTTAGTTAATTACAGTGCGACACACAGTTCCATCTGTCTAGCCTTACAGGCTCCACTCATTTCCTAAGGAATCTAAATCCAGAATTGTATGGCCCAACCTGTCAGTGAGACTGTTTCAGACATTTATAAGATGGTTAAAATCTTTTATCATTTTTTGAATTCCACCGTGGCATTCCTCAGCCTCCACAGTGATCTTTAATAGTTTAATACTTACATGCATTAAGGATCACTTTGTTGTTGTCATTTAGTTTAGTTTAGTTTTTAGTTTAGTTTAGTTTAGTTTACTTTGTTTCGAGACAAGTTCTCCCTGTAGCCCCAGCTGGTCTGGAACTCCCTATATAGATGAGGCTAGCCTCAATCTCACCAGAGATCCACCTGCCTCTGTCTCCCAAATGGTGAGTGCTGGAAGTAAAGGTGTGCATCACTGTGCCTGGCTGTTTTATTTTATTTTTTAAGGATCACTTATTGTAATATAGAAATCTGAGTTTTTTCAAAAGCATTATGTCATGAATCCACAATTAAGATATTACATACTTTTTTTTTTTATAGGATCTCATTGTATACAGTTTCAGACCACCTCACCTAGCCAGTCCATGTTTTATTCATTCTATCAGAAAAGAAAGAAATTAGACTCACAGTTAATCAAGTTCTGAAGTTCATCAAGTTCATGAACTTTCATGCAGCAAGTGCTGACAAAAGTTACATAAATTCTAGTTTTTTAAATGGAATTATAATTTTTATTTTATATGTATGAGTGTTATGCCTGTATGTGCGTAAGTAAACCTGTGTCATGCAGTGCCTGAAAAAGTCAAAAGAGGATGTTGGATTCCCTGAAACTAAAGCTATGTTACAGATGGTTGTTAGCTGCCATGTAGGTGCTGGGAACTGATCCTGTGTCCTCTGCAAGAGCAGCCAGTGCTCTTAATCACTGAGTCATCTCTCTAGCCTTCTCTCCAGCCCATCAACCCTAATAATTCTTGGCAACCTACCAGTTCTGCAGTTTGCCTTACCCAGATGTTGTATAAAAGGAATCACGCAGTGTACAGCTCCTTCAGACTGGCTTCTTTCAATATGCAATGTGCCTTGAACAGTTATCCCTGTCTCTTCATGAGTTGTTCAGCATCTATTGCGCCACATCTTAGCTGCTTCCGATCCTGGGAATTTATGAAAATAAAGCTTCTGTAAACACACATGAAAGCTTTTATAAGGCTTGGGATTTTGAAATCAGAAGGGTGATTTCAGGTGATTTCAGTCATATCATAGACTATTTAGCTTTATACAAAGCTGTAAAACTGTCTTTCAGAATGGTTATGCCTTTCTGCATGCTTCCCATCAACAGGAGAGTTCTGTTGTTCCCTACTGCATCAGCACTTAGTACTGAGAACTTTATTAATTTTACTGGGCATTCTCATGGGCATCTGCTGGTATCTCTGTGTTGCTTATATTTGCATTTCCCTAATGATAAATGATGTTGAGTAACTGCTTATGTGTTAATTTTCCACCAATACATCTTCTTGGGGAAGTGTCTTTTGAATCTTAGGCTCAGTTTGTAATGGATTGCCTTTCCTTACTATGGAGTGTTAAAAGTTTTTGGAACATTTGAGTACACATTGGTTTATCAGACATGTGTTTTGCAAATATGAGCTACCAGTTTGCAAGATGTGTTTTCATGTCTTTAAACTATCTTTTGGCCAGGTAGGTGTAATGCCTTTAATTGCAGCACTCAGGGGGCCGAGGCAAGCAGATCTATGTGAGATCGAGGCCAGCCTGGTCTCCAGAGTGAGTCCCAAGGTAACTGAGCTATAGAAAGATCCTGTTTCAAAAAACCCAAAGGCCCAGACTGTGAAATGGTTTTGCCTGGGCTATGAACTGTGTAGTAGTGAAGAAAATCAGCTGAGCAAAAATGATGAGCCAGGCAAGCAAGGACGTGTTTATTCCTTTTGTTCTTGACTGTGGGTGTGATGTGACCAGCTGCCTGTGTTCCTGCCTTGATTTCCCCAAAATGATGGATTATAACTTGAAATTGTCAGCTGAATAAACCATTTCTTTAAAAAAACAGAAGGAACAAACAATATCAACAGCCACGAAACCACTGTCTTTTGCTCAGCAGAAGTTTTTAATTGAACTAAGCCGAGATTTTTCATTCATATCATGAACTGAATTTAAGGCGTTGTGTGTAAAAACTCTCTACTAAGTCAAGGTCATATAGATCATCAGCTGTATTTGCTTTTAAAAGTTTTATAATTATGCATTTTTACATTTATTCTTTGATTTTTAGAAAAGAGGATGAAGTCAAGAATGGTGGTGAACACCTTTAATCCCAGCGCTAGGGAGTTCCAGGGCTACATGGTGTGACCCAGTCTCAAAAAGAAGGGAGAGAGGGAGGGAGGGAGGGAGGGAGGAAAAGAAGGAGGAAGGGGAAAGGATAAAAAATAAGCGTTTATACAATTGGATATCAACAAGTCAAGAGGAGTTGAGGAGATGGCTCAGTCAGTAAAGATACTTTCTACCAAAGTGTGAGGACCTAAGTTCGAATCCCCAGCACCCAAATAAAAAGCCTTCGTTGCTACACAGACCTGTAGCCCCAGTGTTGGGGGTGGGTGGCAGACAGCAGGATCCATGGGGCTTATTGGCTGACACCCTAGACAAAGGGGGGTGGATGAAGAAGAAAAGGGAGTCATCCAGGGGTTAAGCCAGGCTTTTACAGGAGCAAGGACGTTTCTGTTCCAAAAGTGGAGAAAACTAGTGCATGAAATATTTAAACAGAGGACACGCTGGGTGGCAGACACCTGTAATCCCAGGATAGGAGCCTGAGGCAAAAGCATGCAGGGTTCAAAGCAACGTGGGCTGCATGGCAAGACCCTGTCTCAAAAAACAAAAATTTTAAAGAGTAAATAGAATGATTGTGCTGCACCTTGAATTCCAGACATATTTGGTTCCATTAGCCAAGTGCTGTTCTCAGATTTCTCAGTTATTTATACATCAAAGAAAGTCAAACTGGAGACGCGACCGCAGCCAACTCCTTGCCAGTGACATCATTTCCTCTCACCAGTGGCGATGGTATTTCTTAGACATATTGGAAAGGTTGCAGTTTATCAAGACTTATCATCTACTTCCTGAGCCTTCCTGATCTGTTTGAAATTTGCCCAAGCCTTAATCATTTGGACTAGCATGCACATAAATGTAACCCACCATCTTGAGAGCCTGGAATTGTAGCAGAGGAATTATGGAAAAGAGACTTGAATCAAAGGCGACCCTTCAACAGTCTCCTTACTTTTAGAGATTATTCTTCAAGAGGTTAGAAAGGATAGGAAACAGAGCTTAGAGCAGCCAGATAAAGATATGTCACTAAATAAGGCAGTGATAGTGGAGTGACATAATCTATAGTCTACAGGAATTAAGAGAGCAAGGTAAAAAGTTAAGGTGGACCTGAAGAGCCTTCACTAACTGTGAGCATTCATACCCTTGGAGCCACTGTTTGAGTATTGGGCCTATCTGTGGAAATACCCGAGACAGCTTCCTTTCATTGTGACTTGACTTTACCTAACAGAATACCTGACAGTGTTTTAATATCTTGTGTTGAGGGGCTGGAGAGATGGTTCCGTGGTTAAGAGCACTGGCTGCTCTTGCAGGGGACTGGCATTCAGTTCCCAGCACCCACATAGTTACTAACAACCATCTGCAACTCCAGTTCCAGGGAATCCAACTCCTTCTGGCCTCTGTGGGCACTGCACAACATGAGTGCACTTACATACATGCAGGCACAACACTCATACACATAAATTAAAAATGAATAAATAATAAAATTTAAATCTCTTGTGTTGAACAAATGCATAGATGTGTGCAGTTGAGAAAGCTCACTTGATGGCAAGTGCAGTTCATTTACACAATTGCACATAATGTAATTGGAGTCAGGAAACAGAAATGATGGAAGAGATACTCGACTATGTGGAAATCATGAAAATAAATTTGTGTGATTTTCTTTATAGTACTTATTTAAATAGGAATTGTAATTAAAATATTATTGGCTGCTTAAAATATTATAGGAACAGATGTTATTTCATTTAATCATTCAAACCATTCGAAGTGAAATTATCTCCACTCTTAAAGATTATAAAATAATGAAAGAGGGAGAAAAGAAAGGAGCTTAATGCTACACTAGAGCCAGAATTCAGACGTATGCAAGCTGACTCCCCAACCTGGATTCTTAAACACATAGCTCTATCCCCCCCTAGCAAAATGCACACACACATAGACACGTACACACACACACACACACACACACACACACACACACACGCATGCCTTGTAGAAAGTGTTTTATACCAACTGAACATCTTAACTTGATCCCATGAGAACTTTTCAGTAGATACTCAAGTGTGAACTAACATCATTTTAATTGCTCGTATCTCAATGTGAATCTAGCTCCTTTATCAATAATACCCTCCAAGTTGCTCAATACTACAGAATTAACATTTTGATAAGTAATCAAAATTAGCATTAGGAACTTTAGTCTCCCAAATCAAAAGAGCAGAGTGAAGCAGCCTGTGGACCGACAGGACTATGAAACTATGCAGAGGCTGAGCCAGGAGTTCAAAGACAAGCAACCTGTCTAAAAGTGATTTTCCACGAATGTCAGCAAAGGCAATGAAGGAAAATGGACAGATTTAAAAATAATCAAATGTTGAAATGTAAAATTTGCACGCACAATCACAAAACATGGGAAATACTTACAATGCTTATGTAGACCAAAGAATTATAATCCTGATTCACAAGAGTCTTTTGGCTCAGTTCTTAGGGTTTATTTTTGTTTGTTTCTTTGTTTGTTTTGTTTTTCTTTTGGTATTTTGAGACAGACAGGGAAACCCTATCACCCAGCTGGAACTTGCTATGCTATGTAGACCAGACTGGCCTTAATCTTACAGAGATCCACCTGCCTCTGCCTCCCAAGTGCTGGGATTAAAAATGTTCAGTATCCTTTTTTCTTAAAGATAAAACAGAAATACAGAGACGGAAAAAAAGCAACCAAATTATGAAGAAACATACATTGTTAATAACCATCTGAAAAATACACCTGTTGAGGTATAATTGACGTAAAATACATACTTTACTCTGGTCTGTCTCACTCTCTCCATACACATATATGTACACATCCCCGAACCATCCCCACAGTTAAAATACAAAACATGCCCATCATCTTCAAGCTTGCTCTTTCCCTTCTTAATCCTCCCAAATGTCTATTCCATCACTTAGCTGTTTTCCATCACTAGAGTCATTTGAATTTTCTGGAATTTTGAATAAACTGAATCATAAATATGCCTTCTTTTCTGTGATACCTTTCACTTACTATAACATACTATATATATATACCATACTTAAAAATATAATATAATATACAATATAATATAATTAATATAATATAATATGATATAATATATAATATACTATACTTAAAAACGTACTCATGGTATTTTATATGTCAGATGTCTTTTCATCACTGAGCAGTAGTGTTCTGAATAAGTATACTGTAATTTCATCTTTGAGATGAGGTATTTTTATGTAGTCCTGGGTGGCCTGGAACTTGCTATGTATGCCTGGCTAGCCTCAAACTCACTATGTAGCCCAGGCTGGATTCAAACTTGTAGCAAACCTCCTGCCTCTGCTTCCCAAGTGCTGGGATGATGTCCATGCACTGCTACACCTGGCTTATGACTTCTTTTAAGTATTGACTTGTTAGTAGACATCTACGTTATTTCCAGTTCTGAGGATTTCAGTAAAAATGTGAACATTTCTTTCTTTTCTTTTTTTCTTTTTGGCAGCATCTTTGAGGGCTGTACAAGCATGCACAAACTCATATCCATCAGCAGTCACCCATTCCTCTTCTCCATCCCTCTCTCACCCTCTGGGAGCCCTGGACCACCAAGATTTGCTTATGCTGCACATTCTGAGTAAATAACATTATATAAGCTGGGCATGGTGGCACATGCCTGTAATCCCAGTACTCTGTTGTGGGCTTTCCTCAGGCCAGCTGTGAAGACCCTAACCTGGATCAGGTCCCCTTTAATGCAGGAGCGGGCAGGGGCAGGCCTTATATTTCCCTTTTCTCCGTCCCCAAGTCCCTTTAGTTAGCATATCGTATTCTGATTGGTCCACGCCATGCAGTCTGTCAGCAGTCACTCGGGCAGGGGCAGGCCTTATATTTCCCTTTTCTCTGTCCCCAAGTCCCTTTAGTTAGCATATCGTATTCTGATTGGTCCATGCCATGCAGTCTGTCAGCAGTCACTGGGCTTGGGAGCAGGGTACGGAGGCATGGGCTCCTTTTGGCGGGCTATTTGCAGACCAAGAAGTGAAGTGAATTCTCGCTGAATCCCAGGGCTCTGAGTCCGCGCCATCTTTGGAGGCCTCCTGCTACAGTACTCAGTATGTGGAAGCAGGAGAATCAGAAATCCAAGACTAGCCTGAGCTATATGAGGCCCAACTAAAAGAATGAAAGACAAAATCAAGATATCATGTCTTGTTACTGGTTTTGTTGACACGGTGCATCACTTCTTCTATGGTCAAACAGTGAGACGGTTTCCAAAGATGCTGTTCGACTTTCTATCCCTCAACATGGGCATTCCAGCAGCTGTGGATCATTGCCAGCACTGGGTGTCAGACATCTTTCTAATTTTGAACATGGTGTCTCATCTGGTTTTAATTTCATTTACTAATGCTAAGTGAATCATTACTAATGATGGTTCATCTTTTGTGGATTTATTTACTATGGACACATCATTTTTTGTGATGTGCCTATTCAAAATTTGTCTCTTTTCTAGCTGCTTCATTATTACTGAGCAGTGCATGATGTGTGTGTGTGTGTGTGTGTGTGTGTGTGTGTGTGTGCGTGTGTACTTCAAGTCATTTAAGAGATGCACGATTTTCAAGTTCACTTTTTTTCGCTGCTTTTTCCTTGGTACTGTAGATTGAACCTAGAGCCCTGTGCATGCTAGGCCAGTGCTCCAACCACTGATCTCCATTCCCACCCCTCTTTATTGGACCCCCCTTCTCTTTTTGTGTCACCTTGGCTGACCCAGAACTCATGACATAAACCAGACTGACTCTGAACTTGTGGCAATCCTCTTCCCCGTCCCTCTTGAGTCCTGAGAGTCTACGCAGGAAGCACCACACTGGCTTTTTGGGGACTTGTGGGGGTTTTTTGTAATTTTTTTTCATTTTTTTATTGTTTGGTTTTGAGATAGTATCTCACTATATTGCCCAGGCTGGCTTGGAGACCTCGTGGTTCTCCTGCCTCAGCCTCCTGAGAATCTGAGAGCACAAGCCTGCATGACCAGACTAGGCCCAGCTTTCATTTAAATTTGTAAGAGCATCTTTCACAGAACAGTTAGTTCTTAATTTTGATGAAGGCCAATTTGTAACAGTTTTTCTTTTGTATATAGTGGATTTAATGTTGAATCTAAAAAGAATCTCAGGCAAAGTTCACAACAATTTTATCGTATGCTGTCTTTTTCAGATATGATGTTTTAGATTTTATTGTTTATGATCCACTTTAGTTTTATTTTGTGATAGCAGCTCATCAGGCTAATATCTATATATGATGAAATTTATGAATGAAATTTTTATATGGATCTTATTCCATGCATACTTGCTAAATTCATTTATTTGTTGTTGCCCAAAAATATTTTCTTTGGTGATTTTGGACTATGATTTCTCCCCTTTTCTTAGTTTACTGAGGTTGCTACATCTAGTACAATGCTTAGTAGAAACCATGTTGACAGACGTCCTTACTTCTTCATGATCTTAAGGAGAAATCACTCAACCTTTCACAGCTATGCATGCAGGATATCTGGTGAAGGACTTTCATAGATGCTTAGACTGAAGATATCTCTCTCTAGTCCTAATTTGCTGTGGAGTTTTATAAAAGAAAAAACAATAGATGTGAAGGCCAGGATTGGTGGCTCACACCTTTAATGTCACCTTTTTGTGTCACCTCATGACATAGACTAGGCTGACTCTGAACTTCTCTCGATCCTCTTCCTGTCCCTCTTGCTTCCTGAGATCTCAACACTTGGGAGGCAGAGACAGGCAGATCTCTATGTGAGTTCCAGACAGGCAGGGTCTATACAGCAAGTTCTAGGCCAGCCAGGGCTACATAGTGAGACTCTGTCTCAAAAAAATGTTAGGTTTGGTCAAATGCTGTTTTCTGCATCTGTTGAAAAGATCATCGCTCTTCCTTTCTTTTTTTCTTTCTTTCTTTTTGCTCTTTTTAGTCTTGAGGTCGATGAATCACATTGATAATTTCCTAGTGAAATGGATCAAGATTATTAATTTTTTATTTTTATATTTTAATTTTTTTAACAGAGCATGGAGTGGGGGTTTATTCACAGAAGAGTGGGCGCCCCACATTTACAGCTGCACTGTAAAGTCCACACTCAAATACAGATCCTGTGACCTCCCAACAGCCGCACAAAATGGTGAGAGAGGTGCCTCTTGGTGTTCTCGGCTTGTATATCCTTTGTCCCACCCCCTAAGGTGGACTGATTGGGTGGGAGGGGTAACTGACTCCCCCCTTGACTCCTTGATGAACGTGGTAAGGAGGTCACACTGATAAATTTTTAAAGGTTAGAGCACCTTTCACTCTTGCATAAATTCCATTTGGCCATGGCCCGTTATCGCTACATATATCTATGTTTAGATGTATATTCAATTTTATGAGAATTTTGCATCTATGTTCATAAAGAACAATAATCTTTACAACTTTTCTCTTATGATGTCTGATTTGCTATTAGAGTGATTAATGCTGGATTCAAAGAAGTATTCCCTCCTTTTCAGTTTTCTAAAAGAATGGGATTATTTCTTTTTTAGATGTTAGGTTAAGTTCTCAGTAAAGCTATAGGGCTGAAGTTTGAGTGGGAAGTTTTTACTACTCTTCAATTTTATTACACAGATGTTGGTTTACCTAGGCTCTCTGAGAGACAAGCCTTTGGCGTTCCTTTCATTTTTTCTGATTTATGGGCGTTTAGAAGTGTTGCTACTTCCCAGTATTTGGAGATTTCTCAGATATTTTTCAATTATTCATTTCACATTTATCTGCTTTTGGTCTAATAGCATGTGTTAGCTTTTTATTGCTTGACTAATGTTATATATGTTTACCCTTGTCCTGTTTTAAGGTCTATAACAATGTCGGTCTTGTTAAACATTCTGTATGCACTGAAAAGAATGTGTCCTGTAATTGTTGAGCAGAGTGTTCTAGAAACAACCATGAGTATAAACAACAAGTTGGTAGGAAACATTTGTAAATTACACATTTGACAAAGGACTTTTAAATTTAGAATACATAATGAACACTCACAACTCAATAAGAAATTAATGAACTCTAGTTATAATATAGAAATTATATGAAGGAGACATTTTCTAAAGAAGGTATAGAAATAGCTAGTAAGAACAGAAGAACTATTTGGACTCTACTTACTAATAAAGGCATGAGGAGCAAAGCAGTAAGCTCCTGCATTCTGGCCAGCAAACTCTAGCTGTCTGAGTTTATCTGATCTCCAGGTTCCTATTGTGAGGGGCACAGCTATGACGGGCTCTGTGATAGTTTGAATGTATAATATCCCTAAAGGCTCCTGTGTTTGAACAGTTGATCCCCAGTTAGTGTCATTGTTTGTGGAGGCTGTAGAAACTTCTGGACATGGAACCTAGGTGGGAGTTGGGTTGACCACAAGATAGGACTTGAGAATTCTAGACTAGCTCTGCTTCCTGCCCAAGCCCTGTTTTCTGATCAGCCTGTACATGAGTATGCAGTCTATACTCACTGCTGCCACAGACAAGAGCTCATTCCAAGGTAGCTGTTCTTCCTTGCCACAGTGAAGTGGAACCTTGAGCCAAAATAAATGCCATCTCTCTTGCTTCTTTCTGGTGTTTTGTCACAACAGTGAAAAAAATAACAGATTCTGTTTGGGGTCTTCCCACCACACAGCTGCTAGAATACATTACAACTACATACATCTCGGTGATTACAGGAAATGCATTATTTATTTTCCATTTCTCAGAGATTACTGTCCTGCATTGCCAGGTCTAGTGTTGCTGAGAGCTACTTTTTCATATATGGAATAGTTGGGCGGTTTGTTTTTGTTTGTTTGTTTGTTTGTTTTTTAAGATAGAAAGTGAAGCCTATTGTTCCATTTGGGCTGAGAATGGCATCTGATTTACATTTTAAATACCAGACAATACTATTACTGTGAACAAATAAAAAAGGATATAAACATATATTTGAAGCTAGTCAAGCACGGGGGCACATCTCTTTAATCCCAGCATGAAGGAGACTGAGGCAGAGGCAGGTAGAAACCAGCCATTAGACGATCAGTTTACATTATTTTTCTGAGTGAGCAAATATAAATTATTTACCCATGTTTCTTGTTCATTGTCAATAATCCTGAATGACCTTAAGAAAGATAATGATGTGGTCTTCTAAAGCAATGCGAGTTCCCAAACCCAAAGCATGGGTTTCTAGAAGGTTCTAGATTGTTATGGAAAGGAAGCCCTACTCAGAGAACCAAGCCCAGTTTCTGTGAAAGGGAAGATAGCATCTCATATGTCATCTGATACCATTTCTACTTGATCACTAGAGATAGCAGGGCTCTGCAGGACTTGGTCGATGCCCCTGACCACATAGTCAGAAAGTGTCTTTTTTTTTTTTTTTTTTTTTTTTTTTTTTTTTTTTTTTCAAAAACTCTAATAACAAACAAAACAACACTCAATATAACCGAGAACAAACTAAGTTTCTAATGCTAAAACATTTTGAGAATCATTTTAAAATCATCATAACTTCCATGTTAATAATCCGTTAATGTAAAATTTTGATTTGATGACCTTGCTATGCTTTAGAAAGTGATACATGGCAATATATATTAAAACAATGTAGGAATAATCAGAGTTTTAACAAGAGTTTTTGCAGCTAATGAATTACATAGCTGTAAATTCTAGAATTTGAATGTATAAGATGATTAATGAGTCAGACTTACCAACTTGGAGTGGAAATCATCCATATAAACATTATTCTGAAACTGCCACGCAACTTTCTTTTTAAATTTTTATTTATTTGCATTTTATGTGTATGAGTGTATTGCCTGCATGTATGCAAGTGCACCCATGTCATGCAATGCCCACAGAGGTCAAAAGAGGGTGTTGGATTCCCTGGAACTGGAGTTACAGATAGTTGCCAGCTGTCATGTGGATACTGGGAACTGATCTCAGGTCTTTGCAAGAGCAGCCAGTGTTCTTAACCACTGAGCCATCTCTCTAGCCACAGCAGCTTTCAAAAAGTGTAGATTCTTGGTCCCGACTTCAGGGTCTGATCTAACTGATTTGCGTTAGTATGTGGGAACAAATATTTTACACATTGAACCTCCCCAGATTAATATGTTTCATATCATAATTTGGGAGTACACTTATCCAAACTAACAACCCAATTTTGAAAATGGAAAATAAGAGAAAATAAGTCAGAATGTTAATTGCTTATTCAGATAATTGCCAATAAAGGAGAAAGTGGATCATACATGCTTGATTCTGCCCTACCATATTCTCCCAGCATGCAATTCTACTCTGCTAATTGATGCAGAGGTGACTGGAAAGGTTACCCTAGTAGCTTTATAAAATAAATAAGTTTTTAAATTTCGATTGATAACTTAAAAAAAACAAAACCCTCCTGTTTCATAATGCTTCAGTTTACCTAAGGGTAATGATCAGTACATTATTATTTTAATTTCCACATAGGAAGAAAAATTTCATTCATACAAACACATATCATGAGCATTTATTATGTGTCAGGATTTTTCTAGGCACTGTGACTATGTAGCTGTATGTTGAGTTGAGCTCAGCCCCTCAAAGCATATGTTGGATACTTTATCCCTGGTGCAGCGAAGTTGAATGTGGAGCCTAATTAGAGATGACTGCATCTCATCTGTATTGATGGATTCAAGCTGCTATGGCAGGAACAGGTTACTTACTGCCAGAGGGATCTTGCTATATGTGTCCCCTCCTCATTTTCCCTCCCTCTTGAATGTGCTCTCCTGTCCTTCTGCCTTCTGCCATTTGCCATCAGGTGACATAGTCAGAAGACCCTCACCAGAGGTCAGCACCATGCTGTTAGACTTCCCAGCTTCCAGAATCATCAGCCAAAGAAACTTTTATTGTTGATAAGTTACTTAGATTCAAGTATTCTGTTATAGAAACCTAAGACAAAATAAAAAGGCTGAGTTCTTGCCTTGAAGGAATTAGGTAAATGGCAGAGAGAAAAGGCTAGAAAGACCACACTGAGTACTCCAGTGAAGACATGATTAGACATGACCAGGACACAGGGTAACATGTTCAACCGGCTCCACCAAATCAGAGAGGAGGTATAAAAGGTACACTGAGGCAGAAACAAATAGCATGAACAATTTACCAAACAGAAAATAGTAGGCATATTATTTGATAGTAAATAATATTTTAAAATATAGTTCTTCAGAGTAAGTACGAAAACAAAGTACATGTGTGCAAGAATTAAAGAAGGAAAATAAAACTTTAACAAGAGTCATTATAAAGGCCTGCTGTGGTGGGCAGAATCGGGACCCCACCCCACTTCATGATGTCCACATGCTAATCCCCGGAACCTGAAAACACATTACCTTACATTGCAAGAGGATTTTGCAGAGGTGATTAAGCGTAAGGAGTTTAAGAGAAGCTGTCATGAATCATCTTCATGGAGCAAAGGTAATGGCACAAGGATGGCAGAAGAGGCGGACTCTGGACGGGATCTGAAGAACACAACATCCTATCTTTGTTACTGATACAGAGAAAAGTGACCAGGAGCCAAAAGATAAAGCAGTCACAGACACTGAGAACAGCCCTTAACTAACAGCACAAAACGAAGAGCTCCGTCTTAGGACCACACAGAACTGAGATGAGAAACAGAATAGAAAGAAGTGTGCATTTACTAATATCAAACTTTGTTTAGCAACTTTAAAATCTCATTTCACTTTTCCTTACTAAATTACCTTAATATGTGCAGGAGGGTTTATTACAGAAATGTTATCAGTACTCACAAAAGTGTATATACATGATATAGATGTGACATAAAATAAAACACTAAATCTCATAAAAATCTGGGGAGAAGAATTAAGTGATCTTTATCTGAAAAATAAAATACTTTTGAAAATAACACGCATAATTTTAGCTACATTTGCAGGTGTGCAGCAATTCTTAAACCAAGGGAAAATCAAGTGTTGAAAGCGTTGTGCAGTCATTATTTTTCCACATAATTCTATGTGGGAATTGTAGGACAATAACACGGCTATCTTATTTTGTGTCTCTGTTGATTTTCTGGTTTTGAATCATGAACTTGTCCACTCTGGTATTTTCCAATCTTCTGGTAACTTTACCTGTGACGTAAACATATATGAAATGTTATTTCATGGCTCTCTAAAATCTTGAGTGTTTTACAGGGCACTTTAGCCTAGAAACACACTTGCACTAAATTTATCATTAAACATTATAATCTGGCAGTCAGAATATCCTTGAAGTGGCGGGGACAGGCCGAGTGACAGGAGTTTAGGAGGTGGGTGGGAACCTATTTCTTAAGTGTCAGTTCATCACTGAATAATTTTGTTTCTATTGCTTTTAATGTTTGCTGCTTTCTTACAGAATCTCATAGCTGCAGTGATTCCAAAAATGAAAGTTTGGAGATTAAGAAGCATCCTGGTGAGAACATGTCAAAGTAAGATGCTTTAACACGCTCCTTAAATGGTTTTCACTGCTCCCGTGTGATGTAGTCAAGATAGAATTATTTCCACCTGATACTTGGTTTGAAAAGTTTGATTTGTTCAACCACAGAATTACTAATACAGCTGAGGCTCCCGGCCCCCGCCAAAAACAAAAAAACAAAACAAAAAAAAAAACTTCGTGTGCTTTATTTAATGTGTTATGCTGCCTCTTAGTGGCACTAACTTGTAACTGCAAGTACTTGTAACATTTCCTTTTTTGTGGAAACAAAAACTAAGAAACAAAAACTTTTATAATTAAAAATGACTAATATAAGCTTAATATGTTTAACTTGGTAGATGAAATCTTCCAGTTTTTAAACTAAAACAAACATTGGAACGTTTTCTGTGGACATTGCAAAGAATTAACACATACATAAGGAACCCATCTAGGATATAAAATCTCCTGCTGTGAGATCCTTAACTCCTTATTGGCAAAGATTCCTTGTGCCAATCTGGATGACCAGGAAGTCGCTCTCTCTGTCTAACATTGTTTCATGATATCTCTCTACCAAATATATTCAGAATAGGAGTTTTCTTTAATTTTAATACTCTTTCTTTCCACAAAGAGAAATGTGAACATTTTCTCTTTGAACATCAAAAGGATCTATAAAGAACAAATATAATTTGGTAAGAAAAATTATTTTAAAAGGAAACTGTACTTGAAATTTTGACATTCATTTGAAAGATAAATTTTTTTTCACAACTTCATTGTAGATATGATTTTAGTTTAAGTGTGTGTGTGTGTGTGTGTGTGTGTGTGTGTGTGTGTGTGTGATGTGAAATTTTCAGCAGGCTTTTGAACTATATTTCCCTCTGGTTTTTCACTCCACCTAAACATTATTTTTCTCTCCTCTCTTTCCCCCTATATAACCCTCCTTCCTCCATCCCCAGTTAAAGTATCCCTCATTTTCCCTATTTGCCCTTTGATAATACCTGTCTCCTACTATCCCCCTCTCAAGCTCCTCCTTCCCAGAACCACTTGTTGAAGATGTCGTCTTTCTTCCAGTGTGTGTTTTTGGAAACTTTGTCAAATATTAGGTGGATGAAATTGTGTGCAAATGTGTTTGGGTCTTCTATTTTGTTCCATTAATCTACATATCTGTTTTTGTGCCAAT